AAGCGATGCTTCTCCTTTCCGACTGTTGCTTGCTTCCGCGAAAGTTTTGTCTGCTCTTCCGTTTCGTACGGACGGCTTCCCGGGCAGTCTGGCTGACAGAAAAGCCATCATCGGCGCTGGTAATCCTCAGTCGCAGAAAGCGTTGTAATAACTAACCAAATGAATAATTATATTTATAATATTTCACAATGTACTAATTGGTCTTTTGATCTCAACTTTCGCCTACTCCATTTGATTTTGATATATGCAATTGAGTCTGTCTAACATTCCATTTGATCATCCCACCATTCACTTGTGGAGCAATATTTCCGTCCCCTCATCCGTTTTTCCCACCTTCTGTCTACTCCTCTTCACCCTTTGTTTCCGGCACCATATCTCTGTAGACCTGTTCATTCGTCTATCTATACCTCCAGGTGGAGCAGGACGGCACAACGTTTCATCTTGTATAATCCACAAAGTAAAAGAAGGCTTCCACAATGTACACTTCAAGTTTACGCTAAGCCAGCGCCGTAGCTTGGAGTGTATGGAGCAGAGGGAACTGTGTGTTGAGGGTGTGAATTGGGGCTCTGTCACGGTTGCGTCACGAGTTCGGCGTACGTTTAGCGCAAGACCCGCCGGACAGAAGCCATTTTGGGCTGTTCTCCTTCGCCGGAGCGGCGCCTTCGAACCGACTTGGCGTCAGAGACGAGAAGGCTAAAGCAGACTGATTAATAGCCAGAAATGCAGACCAAACGAACCATCTGCCCACTTTGCAGACATTATGAATATAAAGTTTGCTTTGAAATAGTGCTTTTATGGCTATCGCGTAATCTATTCTTTACTTTTTCTCCAAGTTAACTCCGTTTAGGACCACTCTTCCTTCTCTCCTGAACGGTCATCGGCTTACCCATTTATTGGACTTTGGGGCCAGCTTTCGAAGTCCCATAGAAATGTCCTTCAGCCTCAAATTATGAGTGGATAGCATCGGTGCCTACTTACTATTGATATAAGTAGTTTAGCCGATTGTAATCGCAATATAAAATAATTAATGTAGTCGATTGTCATAACAACTATAAATTTGCTTCTACGAAAATTCCACCAAAGAATAGGATATGAGAAAAAACATAGCCTTCCTTGAAATTCACATCTGCCTTGCGACCCAAGGGTACTCGTGGCAATTTGGCGTGGGGGTTGACGTGTCGAGATTGCACACGGCACTGTCGTGGTTCGAGTCCCGGTGGGGCTATTGATGAGATCTGGGCTTGGGTGAGAATAGCTTTTAGGGAAGCAAGGCTATGTGAAACATAGTGAAAATGTCAGCTATCCCCATATGATTGTGGGAAAATTCATCTAAATGTCCTTCATCGCGTTAAACGAACTGGGGCGGATACATCTCATATAATGTATGAGAAGAAAAGTTGGGTTTCGAGGAATCTTTTGTTTCATAATTGTTGAACTTACTTCCATTTTGAGTGAAAGAGTTGGGTGAAAAGTTTCGAAGGTCGGTTACACCAGAAGACGACGGCGGACTCCTCTTGACCAGCTCTACTGGAAGATTCATGCTGACGCTGTTTCCGAGGCAACCTCCT